AACTACAACTCCCAAACCTAAGGACACTGCCCACCAAACCCTTCCAGTATTTTCTGTTAGTCATGGGAGAATTGTGTGCCAAGTTTGGTTCAATTCCATCGTTGGTGGGGTTCAGAATGCTTTTTGGTTGTAGGTGAACTATAAATCCCAGCAACTACAACTCCCAAACCAAAGGACACTGCCCACCTAGCCCTTCCAATACTTTCTATTAGTCATGGGAGAACTGTGTGCCAAGTTTGGTTCAATTCCATCGTTGGTGGAGTTCAGAATGCTCTTTGGTTGTAGGTGAACTATAAATCCCAGCAACTACAACTCCCAAATAACAAAATCATATATTTTTTGAGTGAAGGACATACATTGGGTTGTTAAGTGTCTTGTGTCCAAATTTGGTGTCAATTTGTCCAGTGGTTTTTTAGTTCTGTTAATCCCACAAACGAACATTACATTTTTGTTTATATAGATTGTTGTTGTTGTTGTTGTTGTTGTTGTCTTATTGCCAGAGGCATTGTTCTGTTTTTGGTGGTTGGCGGCAACAAAGGTGTGTGTGTATTTGTGGATATGATTGTATGCAAAGCATTGGGGGGGCAACTCTATATCTAAGGCAGCAAGTAGAAGAGAGATTTGGGGTCCAGGAAGAACGAGAAGGACTGGATCTCTTTGTATTCTCCTCCCTCCGATGGATGGGTGTCCCCAAAGTGTGGGTGTTTTGTTTGTGTCGGCTGTCGCTTGTGACAGATTATCCTATTTGGGGGTTTGCGTGGGAGGTGCCAGGCGGCAAAGGGGGAAAATGGGGGGTTCAGGGGGGTCAAGGAGGATACCGAGGATTCATTTCTTCTCCGTTTGCTGAATCGCAGGATGACGTTTGGGGCTATTTATAAGCCGGTGATGCCATGCTACGGTGGTTCTGGGGCCACCGGTGGATGGGTTTTATATAGACGACGACGGGTGCACGCCGCGGCTGACCTGTTTACACGTGTGCTTAGGCTCACATGGCTGCCTTTGCACATCAAAGGAAGTGCGCCTTGTTGCAAAACACCGGCGCCGCTAGAAATGGGCCAGCGACTAGTCCTAACCTGCAACGGAGTCAGGAAAGGTTTGCACAGTGTCTAAAAGTACAACTATGCATCCTTTCCACTGACTTCTTGTTATGGGTGGTGGCAACATCGAATCATAGAATCGTAGAGTTGGAAGAGACCTCATGGGCCATCCAGTCCAACCCCATTCTGCCAAGAAGCAGGAAAATTGCATTCAAAGCACCCCTGACAGATGCCCATCCAGCCTCTGTTTAAAAGCCTCCAATGAAGGAGCCTCCACCACACCCCGGGGCAGAGAGTTCCACTGCTGAACAGCTCTCCTTATAGTTGGGAAGTTCTTCCTAATATAGATTAATCAAATAATCTGAGATTCCAAAGAGACATACACAAGAAGTGGAAAAAGGGAGAAATCACCAAAGAAGAATTCAAACAAATAGTCAACTCTTGTAAGGAGAAGGTTTGCAAGACTAAAGCACAAAATGAGCTCAGGCTTGCCAGGGACATTAAAGCTTCCAAAGAAGGAGCCTCAACCACACTCCAGAGCAGAGAGTTCCACTGCTGAACAGCTCTCACAGTCAGGAAGTTCTAATGTTCAGATGGAATCTCCTTTCTTGTCGTTTGAAGCCAATGCTCCATTGCGTCCTAGTCTCCAGGGCAGCAGAAAACAAGCTTGCTCCCTCCCCCCTAGAACTTCATCTCACATACTTATATATGGCTATCATGTCTCCTCTCAGCATTCTCTTCTTCAGGCTAAACATGCCCAGCTCTTGAAGCCGTTCCTCATAGGGCTTGTTCTCCAGACCCTTGATCATTTTAGTCATCTCTTTGCCTTTTCCCACCAAAGTGGTACCTATTTATCTACTCACATTATGTTTTTTGAACTGCTAGGTTGGCAGGAACTTGAGCTGACAAACTGGAGTTCACCCCGTCTTGCGGATTGAACTGCCGACCTTCCAGTCAGCAATTCAGCCAACCTTTGGGTCAACGTTTCATCAACAAAAGGGTTTAACCCATCACACCAATTAAGAGTTTAATTTGTTCCATCATGGAGCTCTTAACTCAAATCACTCTTATCTCAAAGCAAAAATGTTCATTGAGATGCTATTAGAATCATAGAGTTGGAAAGAGCTCATGGGCCAACCATCCCAACCCCCTTCTAAGAAGCAGGAAAATCGCATTCAAAGCACACCCAACGGATGGCCATCCAGCCTCTGCTTAAAAGCTTCTGAAGAAGGAGCCTCCACCACACTCTGGTGCAGAGAGTTCCACTGCTGAACGGCTCTCACAGTCAGGAAGTTCTTCCTCATGTTCAGGTGGAATCTCCTTTCTTGTAGTTTGAAGCCATTGTTCCATTGCGTCCTAGTCTCCAGGGCGGAAGAAAACAAGCTTGCTCCCCCCTCCCTATGACTTCCTCTCACATATTTATACAAGGCTATCATGTCTGGGGAGAGTGGGGAGAGTCTGGGGAGAGTGGGGAGAGTGCTGGGGAGAGTGGGAGGCAAAAGGAAGTGGGGCCGACCAAGGGCAAGATGGATGGATGGCATCCTTGAAGTGACTGGACTGACCTTGAAGGAGTTGGGGGTGGTAACGGCCGACAGGGAGCTCTGGCGTGGGCTGGTCTATGAGATCACGAAGAGTCGGAGATGACTGAACGAATGAACAACAACAACATACACACACACACACACACACACATATATATATATACACACACACACACACACATATATATATAGGCATATATTAAAAATATTTAAAATGAATTAAATTAAAATGCATTAAATTAAATGCCAAATTAAAATTCAATGTACCATTTCATTTAAGGCATTCTGAAATATTTGAGTAATATAGCAAAGTATTATTTATCATTTAATTTAATTTAAATATGTAACTCCTTAATATTTAGGAAACAATGCAAAATAATATCCGTTTGCTTAATAATTAAATAAACCAATATTATTTTGCAATGCTACCTAAATATTAATAATAATTAAATATTTTTAAATGTGACATTTAATTGAATGCATTTTAATATTTGAATAATATAGCAAAGTAATAGTATTTATTAGGCTTGGGCAATCAAGAAAAAAATTGGTTCTAAACTCGTTTCGTTTCTAGGGTGCGCTAGCGTTTCTAAATTCTGAGGACTTCCGAAATTTAAGATTTCGAAATTTCGAAATTTCGTAAATTACGAATCGATTCGTTAATGGCAGACACGATTGCGCAATACACGAAAAAAACCTCCAAACGGGACAGGGGGAACTTCTGAAGCTTCCCTCTCCCTCTGTTGTTGACTGTTGGTGTGATAAAACAAACAACAAGTATATTATATTATATTATAGGTAAAGGTAAAGGTAAAGGTAGTCCCCTGACATTAAGTCCAGTCTTGTCTGACTCTGGGGTGTGGTGCTCATCTCCATTTCTAAGCCGAAGAGCCAGCGTTGTCCTAGACACCTCTTAGATCATGTGGCCAGCATGACTGCATGGAGCGCCAGTACCTTCCCGCAGTAGCGGTACCTATTGATCTACTCACATTTGCATGTTTTCGAACTGCTAGGTTGGCAGAAGCTGGGCTGACAGCGGAAGCTCACGGCGCTCCCCGGATTTGAACCTGCGACCTTTCGGTCAACAAGCTCAGCGCTTTAACCCACTGCACCACCGGGGGCTCCGTACATATTGTACTATACCATTTTATTGTAATATTATTAGAAATATTACATTAATAATAATATATTATTATTATATTATATTATATATATTATTATATTATATTATAAATATTATAATATATTATTATAATATTATTTTATTATATTATTGTATATTATAGTATTATAATATATTATATTATATATATAATATTATTATATTATAATATATTATATTATTATAATATTATTATATTATATTATTATTATATTATATTTGTATTACAATATATTATATTATAACATATTATATATTATATATTATATTATATTATACAATTATAATATAATATAATAATATAGTAATAAAATATATAATATAATAATATAATATAATATAATATAATATAATATATATTATTATTTATTATATATATTATATTATATTATATTATATTATATTATATTATATTATATTATATTATACAATTATAATATAATATAATAATATAGTAATAAAATATATAATATAATAATATAATATATACAATATTATAATATAATAGTATTATAATAATATAATATATGTATATATTATAAAATTATAATATTATAATATTATAGTATTGTATATTAGAGTGAGGCAAGAAGAAGCATGAGGAAAGAGGAGGGAAGCAGCAGAGCAAAGGGACCAGAAGTGGGGTACATGCGAGATTGTAAAACTTGCACCAGGCATACGAAAATAATTATGAAATAATTACGAAAATCGGAAAAATTGTTTCGATTCTTAATTACTCCTCACACTATTCCTTCATGGTTCGATATTGGATCGTAAGCTAATTTAAATACGAATTAATAACGAATTACGAAAGTAACGAACTGGATCGCCCAAGCCTAATGGCTACGCGTGTCAGTACTGACACGCGTGTCATAGGTTCGCCATCACGGCTTTAGACAATAACAGGGAATTTCCGCCTTTTCGACTACTTGAGGCATCCTTTCAGACTCACAACTCTAGTGACTTGAGCAAACGTCAGCTTGGCTTTGGGATATCAGTACCCACCATTCCAAGCCAACCAACGATCGGGGACGATGGGAGCTGGGATCTGAGACATCCTGAGGAAGGCGATAGGGAAAACAAATCCTACGGACCTTCGGGTCCCCCTTTTCCTGGCCTCTCCCATGCTTCCTCTCCACGCTACACAGCACTTCCAGGGCCAAATGGTGAGCTCATGGCGGGCTGAAACCCGAGGAGACACATGCCCTCTTTGGGCACTGCCAGGCTATGAGCTCAAGGTGGTATTTTTAGAGGCAAGACATGACTTCACTCGGCAAAAAGAGAGAGCAGAACGGCAACCCGAAGGGAACGTGGACAGACTGTGTCGTGCGCCGGGGTGAATCTTTGGGTCGGGTAGGCAACTTGTTTGTGTTTCAAACTCAGGCTTGAGTGTCAAAGAGCGACAGCTTCTCAAGTCGGTACGTGTGTGTTACTTTATTCGTTTGCAGGTATTAGTATAGTCCTACGTACGTAGCATAGATCCAGAACTATGCCCATGCCCATGCTTACCCATAGATGCAGAATTCATGCACAAGAGTTGTTTTGGGTCAAAGCAAGACGAGGAGCAGTTTGGCGAATGCACAACAATAGGAGTGCAGAGAGGAAAAGGAGAAAACTCATTGTGCAACAAACGTGCGGATCACTCCCTGCAGATATGTCGCCCAACAAGTGTTTGCGTGAAGGAGAGGAAGTCGAGTGTGCAAACTCGAGCACATGCTACGTTACTCAAGAGTGTAATCTTTTGCGTCTGCGCATGTGCCGGGCTTACAAATTAATTAACGTTAAAGTTATAATTATTAGAATCTTATTTTATCCTCAACTAGAGGAAAGTTAGTGAATGGATTTTGGAATGGCAGGTGTCAGTCAATTCAGGATTTTGGAATGGCAGGTGTCAGTCAATTCAGGATTTTGGAATGGCAGGTGTCAGTCAATTCATGAGCATTCCAGTTGAGACTGACTAGAATTTAGTCCACTGTTATTTGTTGTTATCATTGTAGTACCATATGTTTTACTGATGAGTTTTACACTGGTTACGGCACTATAATACACCATATATACTAGAGTATAAGCTGAATTTTTCAGCCCAAAAAAAGCCCTCCTCAGCTTATCCTCAAGTCAAGGTTATTTATGATTTTACTCTGTTATTGTTATTACTTTTATTATTTTACTCTATTTATTATTATTACTATATTTACTTTATTTTACTTTATTATTATTATTATTATTAGTAGTAGTAGTATTACATTTATTATTATTATTACTATTATTGTTATATTTCCATTATTTTTATTACATTTATTATTTACTCTATTGTTACTGTTTTTATTACATTTACATTATTTTACACTATTCTTATAACTACATTTTTTATTTTACTCTATTTATTATTACTACATTTACATTGTTTTACTCTATTATTATTATTATTATTATTATTATTATTACATTTATTGGGTTGTTGTAGGTTTTTTCGGGCTGTATGGCCATGTTCTTAGAGGCATTCTCTCCTGACATTTCGCCTGCATCTATGGCAAGCATCCTCAGAGGTAGTGAGGTCTGTTGGAACTAGGAAAATGGGTTTATATATCTGGAATGACCAGGGTGGGACAAAGGACTCTTGTCTGCTGGAGCTAGGTGTGAATGTTTCAACTGACCACCTTGATTAGCATTTGATAGCCTGGCAGTGCCTGGAGCAATCTTTTGTTGAGAGGTGATTAGATGTCCTTGCTATTACATTTCTTGTTTTACTCTAATTATTATTATTATTATTATTATTATTATTATTATTTTACTGTATTATTACTGTTATTGGTACATTTCCGTTATTTTATTATATTTATTATTTTACTCTATTATTATTATTGTTATTATTATTATTTTACTGTATTATTACTGTTATTATTACATTTCTATTATTTTATTACATTTGTTATCTTACTCTATTATTATTACATTTATTATTTTACTCTATTTATTATTTTTATTATATTTATTAATTTACTCCATTGATTATTGTTATTACATTTATTATTTTACTCTATTATTATTACCTTTATTATTTTACTCTATTCTTATTGTTACTATTACATTATATTCTCCATTTATTATTTTATATTATATTTATTATTATTATTTTACTATATTATTACTATTATTGTTACATTTCCATTATTTTATTACATTTATTATTTTACTCTATTTATTATTGTTATTATTACATTCATTATTTTATTCTATTTATTATTTTTATTCTATTTATTACTTTACTCTATTTATTATTGTTACTACATTTATTATTTTACTCTTTCATTTTACCTCAGCAGTGTAAGAAATGAAAGCCGAAATATTGACGTAACATTGCATTCAAATACACGTGTGTATTTAGCATAAAACTAGCAGTCCGGGAATAGACAAAGTGGAATCTGTGATGCCCAAAGCAACCACTCACAGCCTAGCTTTCATTTTACCTCAGCAGTATAAGAAATGAAAACTGAGCACTGAAATATTGACATAATGTTCCATTCGAATACATGTATTTAGAGTAAAACTAGCAATCCAGGAATAAACAAAGTGGAATCTGCGATGCTCAAAGCAACCACTCACAGCCTAGCTTTCATTTTACCTCAGCAGTATAAGAAATGAAAACCGAGCACTGAAATATTGACATAACATTGCATTCGAATACACGTGTGTATTTAGAGTAAAACTAGCAGTCCGGGAATAGACAAAGTGGAATCTGCGATGCTCAAAGCAACCACTCACAGCCTAGCTTTCATTTTACCTCAGCAGTATAAGAAATGAAAACCGAGCACTGAAATATTGGCATAACGTTGCATTCGAATACACGTGTGTATTTAGAGTAAAACTAGCAGGCCGGGAATAGACAAAGTGGAATCTGTGATGCCCAAAGCAACCACTCACAGCCTAGCTTTCATTTTACCTATAGACCTATTCATTTCTTATACCTCAGCAGTATAAGAAATGAAAACCGAGTACTGAAATATTGACATAACGTTGCATTCGAATACACACGTGTATTTAGAGTAAAACTAGCAGTCCGGGAATAGACAAAGTGGAATCTGCGATGCTCAAAGCAACCACTCACAGCCTAGCTTTCATTTTACCTCAGCAGTATAAGAAATGAAAACCGAGCACTGAAATATTGGCATAATGTTGCATTCGAATACACGTGTGTATTTAGAGTAAAACTAGCAGTCCGGGAATAGGCGAAGTGGAATCTGTGATGCCCAAAGCAACCACTCACAGCCTAGCTTTCATTTTACCTCAGCAGTATAAGAAATGAAAACCGAGCACTGAAATATTGACATAACGTTGCATTCGAATACACACGTGTATTTAGAGTAAAACTAGCAGTCCGGGAATAGACAAAGTGGAATCTGCGATGCTCAAAGCAACCACTCACAGCCTAGCTTTCATTTTACCTCAGCAGTATAAGAAATGAAAACCGAGCACTGAAATATTGGCATAATGTTGCATTCGAATACACGTGTGTATTTAGAGTAAAACTAGCAGTCCGGGAATAGGCGAAGTGGAATCTGTGATGCCCAAAGCAACCACTCACAGCCTAGCTTTCATTTTACCTCAGCAGTATAAGAAATGAAAACCGAGCACTGAAATATTGACATAACGTTGCATTTGAATACACACGTGTATTTAGAGTAAAACTAGCAGTCCTGGAATAGACAAAGTGGAATCTGTGATGCCCAAAGAAACCACTCAAAGCCTAGCTTTCATTTTACCTCAGCAGTATAAGAAATGAAAACTGAGCATGAAATATTGACATAATCCCAGAAAAGGGAGCTTGTGTTATCCATAAGGAGGCCAGTCTCCAGCCCCACCAGAGACAAGGATACAGCAAGATCAGGCTCACCAAAGCAGAATACTGATGTAATGCCTCTTCTATGTGTGTGTGTGTGCGTGCTCCTCCTCCCTTCGCAAGTGCTGTGGTTGCTGTCGCACCCAATCCCCCCTTGGTTGCCATACACACACTTGATGGGAATAACAGTGCTGTCGCCACACATTAGCGTCAAGGGGCCAGGGCTGAATGTCATTCCTCAGCGGAAAAGCCCCCCGGGGAGGAAGAGAAGGAGGTGGGTTGTGCGTCTCTGTGTGTGTCTCACTTGTGTGTGTAGCGATGGAGAGCAGGCTGAAATGATTATTGTGAAAGGGGCGGAGGAGTCGGAAGGAGCGTCAGATGGAGACGCTCATGTTGTGGTGACCCCCAAACATAACATTGTTTTCGTTGTTACTTCATAACTGTAATTTTGCTCCTGTTATGAATTGTCATGTAATGGATGTGGCACAGATACCTGATTTGCCCAAATTTGAATACTGGTGGGGTGGGGTGGGGGGGATTGGTTTTGTCATTTGGGAGTTGTAGTTGCTGGGATTTATAGTTCAGCTACAATCAATGAGCATTCTGAATTCCACCAACATTATATTAGAGAAGTGTGGACTTTGTTTTCACGGACTTTGCTGAACTTTACCCTGGACTATTTTGTTCCTGCTTATCTTCTTACCTAATTGGATTTACCTATTTCTTTAAAGTGCTTTTTTACTTGGCTGCTTTTTAATTATCTCCAATAAAAGAATTGTTTTCCTATTAAAGTCAGAGGGCTTTTCCTGTCCTGGAGTGCAACAGAAACCTGGTTGTAAATAGTGCAACCACATTATTTCACTACAAAAAACAGGCTCCTACTGAAGAGATAACATTGGCCTGTGTGTTTTTGTTCTTTTTATCACTTTTGGCTACTGGTGTTGGGTCACGCTGGGAGGTAAATAAGGGAGAGAGGGAAGGAGGAAGAAGGGAGAGAAAGGAAGGGAGAAGAAGAGAAGGGAGGAAAGGAAAGGGAAAGAAGAAGGGAGAGGAAGGGAAGGAGAAGGAAAGAAAGGAAGGAAAGGGAAGAAGGGAAAGAAGGAAAGGGAGAGGGAGAAGAGGAGGAAAGGGAGAGGAAGGGAAGAAGGGAAGAAGGAGAAGGGAAAAGGAAGGGAGAGAGGAAAGGAAAAGGGAGAAAAGGGAAGAAGGAAAGGGAAGGAAAAGGGAGGGAGGAAGAAGGAGAAGGAAGGGAAAGGGAGAAGGAAAGGAGGAAGGGAAGGGAAAGGGAAGAAGGAAAGAAAGGGAGAAGGAAGGGAAGGAGAAGGAAGAAAGGGAGAGAAGGAAGGAGGAAGGAAAGGAAGAAAGAAGGAAGGAAAGGGAAAGGAAGGATGAAAGGGAAGGGAAGGAAGGAAAGGAGAAGGAAAGGGAAGGGAAGGAGGGAAGGAAGAAGAAAGGAAAGGAAGGGAAAAGGGAAGGAAGAAGGGAGAAAGAAGGGAAGGGAAGGAGAGGGAAGGGAGAAGGAAGGAAGGAAGGGAAGGAGGAGAGAGGAAGGAAGGAAAAGGAAGGAAGGGAGAAGAAAGGAAAGGAGGAAGGAGGAAAGGGAGAAGAAAGGGAAGGGAAGGGAGGAGAGAAGAAGGAAGGGAGAAGGAAGGAAGGGAGAAGAAGGGAAAGGAAGAAAAGGAAGGAAAGGAGGAGAAGGGAAGGGAAGGAAAGAAAAGGAGAGGAAAGGAAAGGAAGAGGAAGGGAGAAGGAAGGGAAGGGAAGGAAGGAAAGAAGAAGGGAAAGGAAAGGGAGAAGAAGGAAGGGAAGGAAGGGAAAGGAAAGGAAGAAGGAGAAGGAAGGAAAGGAAGGAAAGGAAGAAGGAAAGGGGAAAGGAAGGGAAAGAAGAAAGGGAAGGGGAAGGGAAGGAAAGGAAAGGAGAAGGGAAGGGAAGGAAGGAAGGAGAAGGAGGAAAGGGGAGAAAGAAGAGGAAGAAAGGGAAGGAAAAGGAAGGGAAGGAAGAAGGAAGGAAAGGGAAGGGAAGGAAAGGAAGGGAAAAGGGAGGGAAGGAAAGGAGAAGGAAGGAGAAGAAGAAGGGAGAAGGAAGGAAGGAGAGAAGGAAAGAAAATAGGGAAGGAGAAGGAAAGGAAAGGAAGGGAAGGAAGGGAAAGGAAGAAGAGAAAGGGAAGGGAAGAAAGGAGGAAGAGAGAAGGAAAAGGAAAGGGAAGGGAGGAAAGAGAAGGAAAGAAAAGGAAGAAGGAAGGAAGGAAGGAAGGAAAGGGAGGAAGGGAAAGGAAGGAAGGGAGAAGAAGGGAGAAGGGAAGGAAAGGAGAAGGAAAGGAAAAGAGAAGAAAGGGAGAAGGGAAAGGGAAGGGAATGAAGGGAAGGGAAGGGAGAAGGGAAGAAAGGGAGAAGGGAAGGGGAGAAGGAAAGGGAAAAGGAAGGGAAGGGAGGGAAGGAAAGGAAGGGAAAGGAAGAAAAGGGAAGGGAAGGGAGAAGAAAGGAAAGGGAGAAGGAAGAGGAAAGGAGAAAAGGGAAGGAAGAAAGGGAGAAGGGGGGGAGGGAATGAAAGAAAAGAAGGAGAAGGAAGGGAAAGGGAAGAGGAAGGAAGGAAGGAAGGGAAGGGAGAAGGGAAGGAAAAGGGAAAGGGGAAGGGAATGAAAGGATGGAAGAAGGGAAGGGGAGGAGAAAGGAAGGAAGTGAGAAGGAAAGGAAAGGAAGGAGAGGGAAGAAAGGGAAAGGGAGGGAAGAAAGCCAAGAAAGAAAGGGGAAGGGAGAAAGGTCTTTACGGCAGGTAACGATAAGGGAGTTGTAGGTATCAGGGTAAGAAGGACTTTATAAGGAAGAAGGGAAAAAGGAAGGAAAGGAAGGGAAAGGGAAAGGGGAAGGAAGGAGGGAAGGAAAAGGAAGGGGGGAAGGAAAGAGAAGGAAAAGAAAAGAGGAAAGGAAGGAAAGATGGTAGGGAAAGGAAGGAGGAAGGGAAGGAAAGGGAAAGGAAGGAAGGAAGGAAGGAAAAGAAGGAAGGAAGGAAAGGAGAGGGAGGGAGAAGGAAGGAAAGAAGGAAGGAGAGAAGGAAAGAAGAAAGGATAGGATGGTGGGAGAGAGGAGAGCCTGAGAAAAGAGTCCAAGGGGCCGCATCCGGACCCCGGGCCTGGGTTTGCCCATACCTGCTCTACTCTTAAGTATTTTATCGAGATTGGTCATTGCTCTCCTCCCATGAAGGAAACGTCTTCTGGAAGCGGTGTACAGCCATCCAAATGCACTATAATTAAGGCATGCCTCGCTGTGACCAAATCAAAACATCTCAGGAAACGGCTGGCATAAGAAACAGTGGATTTCCCACTGCGCAAGCCCCCCACTCCTCCTCTCCAGCAACCCCATTGCTTTTAGTGAGGGCCAGATGCAATTTGGGAAGAGAACGGTTTCCATCTCTCCTTGGCATGTAGCTGAACAAGAGGTGGTCCTCCAAGACCCTGCAGGGAAATGGGGGGAAAGGGACTGCCTTCGTCTCCATAATGCAGCTTTAATGGGGACAGCGGAGGGGAAGCAGGAATGCGTCAAGGAAGCTGAAACTGGGGGCGGCTGGGGAAGGAGGCCAATCTGGAATCTTCCCGTCCTCCTCACGCTATTGCTACAAAGATCTGAAGGCAAAGGGAGAGGCGGGGCACCCCAATACGTTGTCTTCTGTCGTCGAGCGCTTTTTGCAAAATATGACCCAGTTTTTCCCCAGAATATTATTCCAAGGATGTTTTCGAAAGGAAGAAGGAGACGAAAACAAGGGGTTGTTCTCGCTCGGTGCTTATTTGCGAACCGTTTTTGGGTATTTTCTGGTGCTCCGGACAGGGGCGGCTCAACCATTACACAGAGTAAGCCTTCGCAGTACAGTTGATAAGTAGGTAGGTAGGTAGAGGGATAGGAAGATAGACAGACAGACAGACAGACAGACAGATAGATAGGAAGAGAAATAGTTAATAGTTTACCTCTCCGAACGTATTCTCCCCTACGAACCATCAAGGTTACTAAGATCATCTGGAGAGGCCCTGCTCTCGGTCCCACCAGCCTCACAAGCGCGGCTGGTGGGGACGAGGGACAGGGCCTTCTCGGTGGTGGCCCCACGACTCTGGAACTCTCTCCCTCTGGAGGCCAGAACCGCCCCATCCATCCTAACATTTAGGAAACGGGTGAAGACGTGGCTGTGGAGTCAGGCCTTCGAGGAATGAGACAACACCATAGGACTCTGGATGGAAGTGGATATAGATCCATCTTATTAGGACGACTGACCACTGTAGTTTTATATTTAGTGTTTTTAAAGTTGTTTTGTAATTTGTGATATATGATATTTTAATGAATGTATATGTTTTTATGGCTGCAAACCGGGCTGAGTCCCTCAACGAGGTTGAGAAGCTCGGTATACAAAACTTTATTTTATTTAATTTAAATAGATAGATAGGATAGGAAGAGACAGATAGATAAGAAGATAGATAAATAGAGGGATAGGAAGATAGATAGATAGATAGATAGATAGATAGATAGATAGATAGATAGATAGATAGATAGATGGATAGGAAAAGAGAGAGAGGAGGATAGGAAGAGAGATAGATAGGAAGATAGATAGGTAGGAAGATAGGAAGAGATAGACAGACAGACAGACAGACAGACAGACAGACAGACAGACAGATAGATAGATAGATACAGGGATAGGAGGGTAGACATGAAGATAGATAGGAGGATAGGAAGAGAGAGAGAGAAGAAAATAGATCGATAGAAGGTTAGGAAGAGAGAGAGATAGGAAGATATACAGATATAGATAGACAGATGATAGACATGAATATAGATAGCAAGATAGGAAGAGAGATAAATAAGAAGATAGATACATAGGTAGGTAGGAGGATAGGAAGAGATAGGAATATAGATAGATAGAGATAGATAATGACATAATGTTCCATTCGAATACATGTATTTAGAGTAAAACTAGCAACCCAGGAATAAACAAAGTGGAATCTGCGATGCTCAAAGCAACCACTCACAGCCTAGCTTTCATTTTACCTCAGCAGTATAAGAAATGAAAACTAAGCACTGAAATATTGACATAATGTTCCATTCGAATACATGTATTTAGAGTAAAACTAGCAACCCAGGAATAAACAAAGTGGAATCTGTGATGCTCAAAGCAACCACTCACAGCCTAGCTTTCATTTTACCTCAGCAGTATAAGAAATGAAAACTGAACACTGAAATATTGACATAATGTTCCATTCGAATACATGTATTTAGAGTAAAACTAGCAATCCAGGAATAGACAAAGTGGAATCTGGGATGCTCAAAGCAACCACTCAGAGCCTACCTTTCATTTTACCTCAGCAATATAAGAAATAAAAACAGAGCACTGAAATATTGACATAACGTTGCATTTGAATACACATGTGTATTTAGAGTAAAACTAGCAGTCCGGGAATAGGCAAAGTGGAATCTGTGATGTCCAAAGCAACCATTCACATCCTAGCTTTCATTTTACCTCAGCAGTATAAGAAATGAAATCGGAACACTGAAATATTGAACCTTTGATCTTTACTGAACTTACTTTCTCTCTACCCCTTTCTCCAGCTCACCTTTCCCAATGCCTCCCTCGCCACTGGAAGAACGGATCGGCGTGCTGCAGAGACCCAAGACCTTGGCCTTGCGCCTCAACCACAGTTTTGGGCACAACGGCGGCGGCGAGAGGCAGCGCCAGCCCTCTCCTCCTCTGCCGCCGTCCCCGGCTTGCAAAGCGTCCAGCCAGGCTCCGGCAGCTCCAAAGGGCGACGAAGCCCGCAGGGGTGCCGTCCTCCAGCCCAACCATTCTCACACCATCGACATTAAGCTGACGGTGGGGGGCAGCCAGGTCCGGGTCCCACCCGAGCGGAATCTCTCATTGCAGCTGGACCTTAAGCAAGGTGGCGAGAGGCAGGGTGGTGTGCTAGCCCCACAGCTGAAGGTCTTCCTGCCCCAAGCCAAGCTCAAGAAGCGGTGCTTCAAGGAGAACTCCAAGCCGGTGCTGGACACCTCGGCTAGCTCCTCCTGCCTCTCCAGCCCGGCCAACACCATGCACCCCTTGAAATGTGGCTGCCGGGGCTGTTGGCGCCTCATGCGCTGCGACGACGTGGGCCCCAAGTCCGGCCTGCGCTCTTTAGGCTGCTTCTCGTGCCGCTCCAGCTTGCGCTCCTTGAGTTGCTCTAGTTGCAGTCCGCCGTCCCTCAAGAAGTTGGGATGCTTGCCCTGCGCTCCGGCCGCCCTGCGCTCCTTGGCGTGCCTGGCTTGCAACCCTTCGGTCAAGTCGGGCAGCTCCTCCTGCAGCTTCTGCAGCAGCGACCCCATCGTAGCCTACGACACTCGGGCGGGCTCTTCCCCGTCCCATAGCTGCTATGGCGGGGACGACGACGACGACTACAGCGTCCGCACCATCTGGCCGGACGAGCTGGCGAAGAAGATGACCAAGTCCCGGGCGCAGCAGCAGCAGCCGGCGTCGGCGTCGCACCACCAGACGTCCCCCTTGATCCTGGACTGTCGCAACTTGGTGGAATACACCAAGAGCCAGCTACAAGGGGCCATGCGCTTCGGGGTGGCCGAGGTGGCGGGCCGGCGGCGGCTTCAGCAGGGCAAGTTGGCCATGCTGGATTTCCTCTCTTCCCGAGGGGGAGGCTGCGATTGCAGGGACTCTTCGCTCCAGCGCCTCTGGCCCAAGGATGCCGGCAACAGCGCTGGACTGGAGACTGTCCCGGACAGCCCACCGCAGCCGCACAAGACCCAGCCCTCAAACAACCTGCATCTCATGCTGAACCTGCTCAACAAAGACGGGCCGGAGGTGCCCAGCAAGAGAGGTGAGTGATAGGCTTGGGCGATCCAGTTCGTTAATTTCATAATTCGTTATTAATTCATATTTAAATTAGCTTACGATCCAATATCGAACCATGCAGGAATAGTGTGAGGAGTAATTAAGAATTGAAACAATTTTTCCAATTTTCGTAATTATTTCGTAATTATTTCGTAATTATTTTCGTATGTCTGGTGCAAGTTTTACAATCTCGCATTTACCCCACTTCCGGTCCCTTTGCTCTGCTGCTTCCCTCCTCTTTCCTCATGCTTCTTCTTTCCTCACTCTGGGGACAAGACGAGAAGAGAAGAGAGAAGGAGGAGAAAGGAGAAGAAGAAGAGAGAGAGAGGATGAGGAGGAGGATGAGAAGCGTATGAGAGAGAGGAGGGGATGATATTAGAGATTATAATATATAGGTGATGACTAGAGTATTAGAGTATGATGGGAGGAAGACAAGGGGGTGGTGTAAGCAGAGGCTTCCTGGCCATCTGTTGGGAGTGATTAGGTTGTGTCTTTCTGCCCAGCACGATGGGGTCAGTCTGGATGGCCTTTGGGGGTCCCTATAATTCTAGAATTCACAATATAATAATGTAATATAATATAATAATAATATAATATAATTATAATATAATATAAAATAATATAATAATTGTGAATTCTATATAATATAATATAATAATAATAATATAGTGAATTAATTATATTATTATATATATTATTATATTATATTATGTTATGTTATTGTATATTATATTATAATATATAATATATTATATTATATTATACAATTACAATATAATATAATAATATAGTAATAAAATATATAATATAATAATATAATAGAGACCTCACCTCTGAGGATGCTTGCCATAGATGCAGGCGAAACGTCAGGAGAAATGCCTCTAGAACATGGCCATATAGGACCTCACTACCTCTGAGGGTGCTTGCCATAGATGCAGGCGAAACGTCAGGAGAGAATTATATAATTATTATATACTAATATAATATAATATACAATAATATAATATACAATAATATAATATAAAATAATATAATATAATAATATTATAATATAATATACAACAATATAATATAATAATATTATAATAATATAATAATATAATATAGTTGTTGTTTGTTTTATCACACCAACAGTCAACAACAGAGGGAGAGGGAAGCTTCAGAAGTTCCCCCTGTCCCATTTGGAGGTTTTTTTTAGCATATTGCGCAATCACGTCCGCCATTAACGAATCGATTCGTAATTTACGAAATTTCGTAAATTTCGAAATTTTGAAATTTTAAATTTTGGAAGTCCTCAGAATTTAGAAACGCTAGCGCACCCTAGAAACGAAACGAGTTTAGAACCAATTTTTTTCTTGATCGCCTAAGCCTAGTGAGTGACCATTCGCAGCCGGAGCTTGGGAACGGTGCCGCTTTGGGCATGTAGTGTCCAGGGTCCTTCAGCTCTTCTCGGAGAGCGTGTTCGGAAGCTGTATCCCCATAAGGAACTTTTCCACGTATGGATCCTGACGATGGCGGTGCCAGTTAAGTGTACACATGAAGGCAGCACTCAGAAAGTGTTTCCACATTACAATTAGGGCAATTTGAATCCAGTTGCAGTGCTGTGGAATCATGTTGTTTCAACCTTAGCCAAAAGAAAGTACTTATGTTTTAGGTTCTTGTGGGTTTTTTCGGGCTATAGAGCCATGTTCTACTTATGTTTTGCCAAACTGCAACTCTATAATAATAATAATAATAATAATAATAATAATAATAATAATAATAATAATACAGCCAGTAGAGCGTCTGCTGTGGACTCATCTTGTTGTGTTTCTATAATAACAACAACAACAACAACAACAACAACAACAACAACAACAACAACAARAATAATAATAATAATAATAATAATAATAATAATAATAATAATAATACAGCCAGTAGAGCGTCTGCTGTGGACTCATCTTGTTGTGTTTCTAATAATAATAATAATAATAATAATAATAATACAGCCAGTAGAGCATCTGCTGTGGACTCATCTTGTTGTGTTTCTAATAATAATAACAATAACAATAATAATAATAATAATACAGCCAGTAGAGTGTCTGCTGTGGACTCATCTTGTTGTGTTTCTAATAATAATAATAATAATAATAATAATAATAATAATAATAATACAGCCAGTAGAGCGTCTGCTGTGGACTCATCTTGTTGTGTTTCTAATAATAAATAATAACAACAACAACAACAACAACAACAATAATTAGAAACACAATAAGATTAGTACACAGCAAACAAGGTCACTATGCTGGCTGTTGTATTGGATCACATGTTGGACACTTCCCAAATTATTATTATTATCATCATCATTATTATTATTACTATTATTACTATTTTACTGACACAAAAGCACAGTATGTCACAGCAAACGAGAGCAATATGCTGGATTTCGTATCACAAAATCACAAGTCGAACACTTCCCAAGCGTCTAGGACTGTGTGATGTATTATGTGTTGTTGTTGTTGTTGTTGTTATTATTATTATTGTTAGAAACACAACAAGATTAGTACACAGCAAACAAGATCACTATGCTGGCTGTTGTATTGGATCACACGTTGGACACTTCCCAAATTATTATTATTATTATTATTATTATTATTATTATTATTATTATTATTATTATTATTTTACTGACACAAAAGCACAGTATGTCACAGCAAACGAGAGCAATATGCTGGATTTCGTATCACAAAATCACAAGTTGAACACTTCCCAAGTGTCTAGGACTGTGTGATGTATTATGTGTTGTTGTTGTTGTTGTTGTTGTTGTTGTTGTTGTTGTTGTTGTTGTTATTATTATTATTATTATTATTATTAGAAACACAATAAGATTAGTATACAGCAAACAAGGTCACTATGCTAGCTGTTGTATTGGATCATACGTTGGACACTTCCCAAATTATTATTATTATTGTTGTTTTTGTTATTATTATTATTTTACTGACACAAAAACATAGTATTTCACAGCAAATGAGATCTATATGCTGGATTTCGTATCACAAAATCACAAGTCGAACACTTCCCAAGCGTCTAGGATTGTGTGATAATAATAACAACAACAACAACAACAACAACAACAACAACTACTACTAGTAGTAATAGTACAATCATTTTATAGGGTTGTTGTGGGTTGTCCAGGCTGTCTGGCCATGTTCCAGAAGCATTCTCTCCTGATGTTTCACCCTCATCTAGGGCAGGCATCCTCTTGTCTGCTTAAGGCAAGTGTGAATGTTGCAATTGGCCACCTTGATCAGCATTGAATAGTTTCAAACAACCCTGGACATTCCACAGATATATAAACTTAACTTGCCTAGTTTCCAACAGACCTCAAAACCTCTGAGGATGCCTGCCATGGATGTGGGCGAAACGTCAGGAGAGAATGCTTCTGGAACATGGCTGGACAACATGAAAAACTCACAGCAACCAAAGAGAGTTTTTAAAAATTAAGTGCGAGGGTATGTTGTCCCTTCATAGCATGACCAGTTGTTTTTTTGGAAGTAACTTTTTTCAATGATCTTCTTAGGTGCCAGATTCTGAGAATTGTAGTCAAACCAAGCATCTTTTCTAAGTGTGTGTGTGTTTTTTAGTGTTGTTCTTTATTTACTGTCCTGAGGGTTTTTTTAAATACTGGGAGCTTGTCCTTCTGGGCCAACTCTGGTTTGTATTCTGGAGACTGAAGGAGTTGGGGGGGGGTCGTATTTCGCTCCCCTCCTTTTGATGACCTCATCCCAGCTGGATGCTCAGATGGCAAGATGCAAAACGAGGGGGTGGGAACAGCATTGGGGGGGGGGGTCCCAGTTTGAGTTAAGCACACTCACCCCTCCCTTTACACCCACCCACCCCTTTATTTAGCACCAGTGAACCAGAATGAACTCTGCCCGGGTTATTTGAGAAAGGGATTGTGTCTCAAGGTTGGTCTTTATCTGTTATTGTTATGGCTTGCAGTGGTCTCAGGAAGTTAGTGAAGGTACTGTGAGTCCCATCATCTGTGGTCCATCCTCCTCCAAACTGCTCCAGGATGGAGAGTGGGTCATGGGGGCTCTGTGTGCCAAGTTTGGTCTTGATTGGTCATTAGATCAGTGTTGCAGAAGTTTTGGGAAGTGAGTGGAAGTACTTGAAGTCCCATCATCCATACTCTGTTCTCCCCCAAACCTCACCAGAATATTGAGTTGGCCATGGGGACTCTCTGTGCCAAGTTTGGTCTTTATTGGTATTTGGATGAGTGTCGGTGTGGTTTCAGGAAGTGTGTGAAGGTACCGCAAGTCCCATCATCCATGGTCCATCCTACTCCAAACTGCAGTAGGATGTAGAGTGGGTCATGGGGGCTCTGTGTGCCAAGTTTGGTCTGTATTGGTCATTAGATGAGGGTTGCAGCAGTCTGACACAGCCTAAGGCCTTTTTCTCTCCTCTCTTGTCACCTCAGAATCTTGGAACTTTCACGCTGGCCAATCAGAGACCATATGCAAATTTCCTTCTCATGTCCCTGCTTCTCTCATTAACTCTCTTCACCACCAGGGGGTCCTGTTGAGGTTGGCCAATCAGAGACCATATGCAAATAGCACCACAGTAGCAGCCAATTGGAAAGCTGCTACATACACTTCCTCCACATACCCACAAACTCAGGACAGAAAATAAAGAGCAACACTCAGAAAATAGGGGAATTCCAGACAGGAAACAATCAGAGCCAGCTAACATCTGGGAGCCTGCGAGCAGACGTCGTGAAGGCACTCCTACTAAAGGAGCCTACATGTGGGGCACAACAAGGCCCTCCCCATTGAACCATTGCCTTATCACAGGGCTTCCCAGCCCCATGGATTGACCTCTTTTGCTTTGTGTTTTGGCCGCAGAAGGTACCGACAGCACCGATGACTTGGGCCCTCCGCTCACGCCCGACTTGGAGAACGCCGAGCTGAGCCCCATCCTGCCCTTCCTTTTCCTGGGCAACGAAAGGGACGCCCAGGACCTCGAGCGGATGCTGAGCCTCAACGTGGGCCACGTCCTCAACGTCACCACCCACCTCCCTCTCTACCACGCCGACAGCGGGCGCCTCCGCTACAAGCGCCTGCCCGCCACCGACAACAGCCGCCAGGACCTGCGCCAGTACTTTGAGGAAGCCTTTGAATTCATCGGTAAGCATTAGTATCTTGGGTCCCCAGCGTTGCCTGGGTTACTTGAAAAAAACAATTTTTAATAAGGTTGTGGGTGAACTACAACTCCCATCATGCCAGGTTAACCCCGAGAAGCTCCATCAGTACTTCAAATTTGTTATGTTGGGCAAGTTTGCTCTAGATGCCTCATTGGTGGGGTTCAGTGTGCTCTCTGGCTGTAGGGTAAACTATAACTCCCACTATGGTGAGTCAGTCCCCTCCATCCCCTCCAGTTGGTGGAGTTAGTCGTGGGGGTTCTGTGTGCCAAATTTGGTCCAGGTCCATCATCGGTGGAGGTCACTGTTTTTCCGATTGTGGGTGAACTACAACTTCCAGAAAGGAAGGTCAGTTCCTCCCAAACCCTATGATAACAGGGTAAACTACAACTCCCAGTATGGTGAGTCAGTCCCCTCCAGTAGGTTGAGTTAGTCGTGGAGGTGTTGTGTGCCAAATTTGGTCCAGGTCCATCATCGGTGGAGGTCATTGTTTTTTCCGAATGTGGGTGAACTACAACTTCCAGAAAGGAAGGTCAGTTCCTCCCAAACCATATGACAACAGGATAAACTACAACTCCCACTATGGTGAGTCAGTCCCCTCCATCCCCTCCAGTTGGTGGAGTTAGTCGTGGAGGTTCTGTGTGTTAAATTTGGTCCAGGTCTATCAACAGTGAAGGTCACAGTTTTTCCGATTGTGGGTGAACTACAACTTCCAGAAAGGAATGCCAGTCCGTCCCAAACCCCTCCAGTAATCAAATTCTAGCATATCAGGTCTGTGTGCCAAGTTTGGTTCCATTCCATCGTTGGTGGAGTTCAGAATGCTCTTTGGTTGTAGGCGAACTATAAATCCCAGCAACTACAACTCCCAAATTTCAAGGTCTATTTTCCCCAAACTCCACCCGTACTCAAATTTGGGGATATTGGGTATTTGTGCCAAATTTGGTCTAGGGAATGAAAATAAATTCTGCATATCAGATATTTACACTACTTATTTATTTATTCACGACATTTATATGACGCTGTTCTCACCCAGTGCGGCTTACAAGATATATATATATATATACATACATACAATATATTTAATTATTAGCATAGTACAATATTAGTATTATACATTACTATATAGTGTACTACACCATTATATTGTAATATTATTAGTAATATTACATGTCATATAAAATATATAATTATATTGTATTATTATTATTATATGGTATTACATTATAATATTATACTATATTATTAGTAAGGCACAGGAGACAAGATGGAACTGTCTTCAACATTACGATTCATAAAAGTATATATATATATTGTATATATATATATTGTATGTATATAAATAAATAATGTAAATATCTGATATGCAGAATTTATTTTCATTCCCTGGACCAAATTTGGCACAAATACCCGATATGCCCAAATTTGAGTCCTGGTGGAGTTTGAGGAAAATAGGCCTTGACATTTGGGAGTTGTAGTTGTTGGGATTTATAGTTCGCCTACAACCAAAGAGCATTCTGAACTCCACCAACGATGGAATGGAACCAAACTTGGCACACAGACCTGATATGCTAGAATTTGATTACTGGAGGGGTTTGGGACGGACTGGCATTCCTTTCTGGAAGTTGTAGTTCACCCTCAACCGAAAAAACTGCGACCTCCACTGTTGATAGACTTGGACCAAATTTGGCACGCAGAGCCCCCATGACTAACTCCACCAACTGGAGGGGATGGAGGGGACTGACTCACTATAGTGGGAGTTGTAGTTTACTCTGTTGTCATAGGGTTTGGGAGGAACTGACCTTCCTTTCTGGAAGTTGTACTTCACCCACAATCGGAAAAACAGTGACCTCCACCGATGATGGACCTGGACCAAATTTGGCACACAGAACCTCCAAAGACCTCCGCTGGAGTCTTCAGACACGCCTCCGGACCCGAAGCGGGCCAGACGTGGCGGCTCTGCCCCTTGGCCCACCTGTGGATTGGGGAGAGGAAAGGAGGCGGGTGGAGCGCCGGGGGATCGGGAAGGGGAGCCGGTCATGGGGAAGGGATCGAACGCGGAGAACGATTTGAGTGCCGGCTCTGCTCACGCACCCGGTGGCCGGGTGGAGCAGGAACGAGAGGGGCTAGGCGAGGCTCAAAGGCCCGGCTCCTTTGGGAAGAGGATCGCCCGGCAGCGAGGCAAGAAAGCCAAGGCTTCCCCCGGACTGCTAGGGCTGTTGTGAGCTGAGGGGGCGCTCCTCACGTGGCGGTCGAGGGGCATTTACAGAGGTGCCTCTGCACCCCTGGCAAAAAAAAAAGTGTTCTGTGACCGCTTACTTTGCGTAATGGACGAGCCGCCCCTGGTTGCGGCATTAGGAAGGTTGAGAACCACTGCTTTAGATGAATCTGTAGTTTAGTAGAGAGAAGAGTAGGAATTATGGGAAACTGATCTGATGCTGTCCTGGTTAGTCACTTTCTCTTTTCCAACTCCAATATTTGATATTTGTTATTTCTCTCTCTCCCCCTTTCTTTCGTTCTGCTTCTTGCTTTCCCTGCTCCAGAGGAGGCCCACCAGAGCGGCAAAGGGGTCCTCATACACTGCCAGGCGGGGGTCTCGCGCTCGGCCACCATCGTCATCGCCTACTTGATGAAGCACACGCTCATGACCATGGGCGACGCCTACAAATACGTCAAGGGACGGCGGCCCATCATCTCGCCCAACCTCAACTTCATGGGACAGCTGCTGGAGTTCGAGACAGATCTCAACGCCGGCGTCACGCCCCGCATCCTCACCCCTAAACTGGCTGGAGTGGAAACCGAAGTGTGAACCACAATTCTGGGTGGGGTGGGAGGGGGACCGAGGGTGACCTCCGGCAATCTCAGGGCTCGGAAGAGGTGTGCATGGGGTGTGTGTGCAATACGGGACCGACAAACTGTGTGGCACTGGACAAGAAGTGATCCAGGATCGTGTGCAAGCAATGGTTGGGTGCGTGGCTCCTCGGCCACTGAAAAGCCATTAAAAACAGATGGATTTGGGTTCTTTTTTTCGAGGGGTGGGATGCCTTTCTATACTTGCCAACCAATAAGCACTGACAAAACCGCCAATGTTTTGGCAACCACTGCTGCCACCATGTTATTTCTATGTAGGACTTCCTTCTCTCAGCCTCAGAGTAGGGCTTGGGAGGGATTTCAAGACGTGTGCATGAGAGAAATCTCATTGGGCTTAATTTATTGGGATGGGAAGTGTGTGGATGCGAAGATGTGATGGAAGGACCACCCTTTTGTGTTCATCTCTCCCCTTCTTGGTCCAGAGCACTTCCTGTCCAACCAGGATGGAAAACGTCTTTATTATGAGGGTTACCCAGAAAGTATGGTTACAAGAGTTTCAAAAAAATTACAAATAATTACTATACGGTAGAGTCTCGCTTATCCAACATATACAGGACGGCAGAATGTCGGATAAATGAAAATGTCAGATAATACTGAGGGAAATGGAATGAGGAAGCTCATCTCTAACCTTCACCACAACGCCAGTCGATGAGCTACTGACGACAGGCACTACTCATTCGTTTCTGCTTGCTTCCCGCTACACAGCCTTGATACTACTCCCGGAATGAGGATGCTCATCTCTAACCTACAAAGCAGTGATACTAACTTCCCCCCAGGATGGGGACGTTCATCTCCAACCTTCACCACAACACCAGTCGATGAGCTACTGACAACTGGCACTGCTCGTCCGCTTCTGCTGGCTTCCCGCTATACAGCAGTGATACGAACTTCCCCCAGAATGAGGATGCTCATCTCCAACCTTCACCACAACATCAGTCAATGAGCTACTGACGACTGGCACTGCTCATTCGCTTCTGCTTGCTTCCCGCTAAACAGCCTTGATACTACTCCCGGAATGAGGATGCTCATCTCTAACCTACAAAGCAGTGATACTAACTTCCCCCAGAATGACGATGCTCATCTCCAACCTTCACCACAACATCAGTCGATGAGCTACTGACGACTGGCACTGCTCGTCCACTTCTGTTGGCTTCCCGCTACACGGCAGTGATACTAACTTCCCCCCAGAATGAGGATGCTCATCTCCAACCTTCACTACAACGCCAGTCGATGAGCTACTGACGACTGGCACTGCTCGTCCACTTCTGCAAGCTTCCCGCTACAGAGTGATGCCAGCTTCTCCCAGAATGAGGACGTTCACCTCTAACTTTCACCATAACACCAGTCGATGAGCTACTGACGACTGGCACTGCTCATTTGCTTCCGCTGACTTCCCGCAACACAGCAGTGATACAACTTCCCCCAGAATGAGGACGCTCATCTCTAACCTTCACCATAACACCAGTCAATGAGCTACTGACAACTGGCACTGCTCGTCCGCACTTGTCAATGAGCTACTGCTCGTCCGCACTTGTCAATGAGCTACTGACGAATGGCACTGCTCGTCCATTTCCGCTGGCTTCCCACTACACAGCAGTGATACTAACTTCCCCCGGAATGAGGACACTCATCACCAACCTTCACCGCAACACCAATCGATGAGCTACTGACGATTGGCACTGCTCGTCCGCTTCCACTGGCTTCCCACTACACAGCAGTGATATAAACTTCCCCCGGAATGAGGATGATCATCTCCAACCTTCACCAGAACGCCAGTCGATAAGCTTCTGACAACTGGCACCGCTTCTGCTGGCTTCCTGCTACACAGCAGTGATACTAACTTCCCCCCAGAATGAGGACGTTCATCTCCAACCTTCACCACAACCCTAGTCGATGAGCTACTGGTGACTGGCACTGCTCGTCCGCTTCCGCTGGCTTCCCACTACACAGCAGTGATACCAACTTCCCCTGGAATGAGGACGCTCATCTCTAACCTTCATCACAACACCAGTCGATGAGCTACTGACAACTGGCACTGCTCGTCCGCTTCCACTGGCTTCCCACTACACAGCAGTGATATCAACTTTCCCCAGAATGAGGATGCTCATCTCCAACCTTAACCAGCATGCCAGTCGATGAGCTACTGATGACTGGCACTGCTCGTCCACTTCTGCAGGCTTCCCGCTATACAGAGTGAGACCAACTTCCCCAGGAATGAGGATGCTCATCTCTAACCTTCACCACAACACCAGTCGATGAGCTACTGACGACTGGCACTGCTCATTTGCTTCCGCTGGCTTCCCGCTACACAGCAGTGATACTAACTTCCCCCAGAATGACGATGCTCATCTCCAACCTTCACCAGAATGCCAGTCGATGAGCTACTGACAACTGACACTGCTCGTTCACTTCTGATGGCTTCCTGCTACATGGCAGTGATATCAAATTCTCCACGAGAGCCTTGTAACCTTACTTTTTGGATAACCCTCATAGAAGGGGTGGGTGGTGTTGTCTCAACCGTGTTCTTGCACATGGATGTGTATGAGTGTGTATATTATGGGGGGGGGGGTAGGACAGTGCGAGAGAGATGCTCTCTTTCCACAGTTATCAGAATTTAACGCTCAGGATTACTGACCTCTTCTAGGTAGATATTTTGGTCTGGATGGAAAGATAAGAGCCAGGATAGTTGACAGCTCCGTCCCCGTTTTTGCTGCTGGTGGTTGGGAGACCGGGCATCCTGTGCCGCTGTCTATTTATTTATTTGCTTGACTTCTTTGACCACCAATCTGTTACAAAGACTGAATCTTCAAATGGCAGTATGGTGGAAACCGGAAGGGGGACATTGACTGTCTCGCTCTCGCACACCGTTTAGGCACTTCCCCTTCTCAGGGTCACGATACCATTGGGATCGTCTTCCATGATGGAAGCTGTACTTAAAGAGGATGGGAGTGGAATAGTCGTGGAGAACGATGAAGGAACCCAGAAGAGTCATCGTAGACTAGTCTACTTCAACTTGTGTTGGACCACACGTTGCGTCAGCACCATCCATACTCCGGGAGACATGGGTGGGAAGGCCACCTCTCGTAAAGTTCACTTTGGGTTTCTTGGAGTCAAACGACCTCTGGTGCGTGTGGTTCCTCGCACCAGTTATCTCGAAATGCAATATATACATATATTTTTGTTGTTGTCGGTTGCTCTTCAAGTGTCTCCTTCCTCTCCTCTCCTTTCCCATGCTGCCTCCCGTGAGCGTAAAGCAGGCAAGGGGAGAGATGTTGTTTAGTTGCCTTCTTCTAGAGTAGTGTTTCTCAACTTGGGGGTCGGGAACCCTGGGGGTTTCAGAGGGGTCGCCAGAGACCATCAGAAAACATATCTCTGGCCAAGGGGTTCCAAAGACCATCAGTTTTCTGATGGTCTTTGGAACCCCTTGGACAGAGAAGGATGAAGATCTCTCGCCTACCCTTCCCTTCCTTTTGGAAATAGATGGTGAATACTCACCCCAAAAACCCTTCTCCGCTGTGATTGGTTGACCTCTCAGTCAAGGGGTGGACTGTTCCTGAAACTCCAATCAGACGTGCTCAAGCATGACAACGTGGTGTGCATATGCAGGCGAGGGAGAGCATGCGAGTCTGGAGGGAGGCTTGCACCAATGAGTCCTTCAAGGCATGGCGGTTCTGTGTGGGAAGTTTGGCCCAATTCAGAATGTTCTGATTGTACCATAAATCCCAGCAACAACTCCAAAAATGTCAAGGTCTATTTTCCCCAAACTCCACCAGTGAGCATATGGAATATTCGTGCCAAGTTTGGTCCAGATCCATAATTATTTGCGTCTACAGTGAACTATAAATCCCAGCATCTACAACTCCCAAATGTCAAGGTCTATTTTCCCCAAACTCCACCAGTGAGCATATGGAATATTCATGCCAAGTTTAGTCCAGATCCATAATTATTTGCGTCCACAGTGAACTATAAATCCCAGCATCTACAACTCCCAAATGTCAAGGTCTATTTTCCCCAAATTCCATCAGTGTTCACATTTGGGCACATTAAGTATTCATACCAAGTTTGGTCCAGATCCACCACTATTTGAGTTCACAGGGCTCTCTGGGTGTAGATGAACTACAACTCCTACACTAAAGGGCAATATCCACCAAACCCTTCCAGTATATTCTACTGGTTATGGGAGTCCTGTGAGCCAAGCTTGGTTCAATTCCATCATTAGTGGAGTTCAGAATACTCTTTGATTATAGGTGAACTATAAATCCCAGCAATTACAGCTCTCAAATGTCAAGGCCTATTTTCCACAAACTCCACCAGTGTTCACATTTGGGCATATGGAATATTGGTGCCAAGATCCATCATTGTATGAGTCCACAGTACTCTCTGGATGTAGGTGAACTACAACTCCTACACTCAAGGGCAATACCCACCAAACCCTTCCAGTATTTTCTGCTGGTTATGGGAGTCCTGTGAGCCAAGCTTGTTTCAATTCCATCATTGGTTGGGTTCAGAATACTCTTTGATTGTAGGTGAACTATAAATCCCAACAACAACTCCCAAATGTCAAGGTCTATTTTCCCCAAACTCCACCAGTGTCCACATTTGGGCATATGGAATATTGGTGCCAAGTTCCATCATTATATGAGTCCACAGTACTCTCTGGATGTAGGTGAACTACAACTCCTACACTCAAGGGCAATACCCACCAAACTCTTCCAGTATATTCTGCTGGTTATGAGAGTCCTGTGAGCCAAGCTTGGTTCAATTCCATCATTGGTTGGGTTCAGAATACTCTTTGATTGTAGGTGAACTATAAATCCCAGCAACTACAGCTCCCAAATGTCAAGGTCTATTTCCCCCAAACTCCACCAGTGTTCACATTTGAGCATATGGAATATTCGTGCTAAATTTGGTCCAGATCCATCATTATATGAGTCCACAGTACTCTCTGGGTGTATGTGAACTACAACTCCCAAAACTCAAGGTCAATGCTCACCAAATCCAGTATTTTCTGCTGGTCATGGGAGTCCTGTGGGCCAAGTTGGGTTCAATTCCATCATTGGTGGAGTTCAGAATGCTCTTTGATTATAGGTGAACTATAAATCCCAGCAACTAAAACTCCCAAATGACAAAATCGATCCCCCCCAACCAAGCGAAACGGTCAACATTAGTAGACGACTTTCTCCCTCCAGCATCTCAGCAACTTCGGGTTTGGCCTCCGCTGGAAAGTGACATTGTCTCATAGTTGGAACAGCTTTCGCTGCAACGGCGCACTGCCCGCTTTTCCCGCACCGTCCTGGTTCCCGGTGACTAGTCGTGCAATGTTTCTTCTCCCTTTGGAAAATTTTGTACTCCATAGTGATGTCCCCACCCGCCCAATTAGGCAGGAAGCAGACGTGACCCGAGGTGGATAGGGCAGCTCCCCTAGATGTGTTCAGACGACATTTCCCTATAGCCTCCCACTCTGGAATTGTAGGCCGACACACCTGAAAGGACACGGGAGTGGGGGCTGCAATAGAATCTTCCCCTTTCCTCGCTGTTTCTCTTTGGATCTTGTCTTTGTTATTTATTGGGCTCAACTAGTGGCCCCGGCTGTAATTTATTAAACATGATATTTCTGTTTTGTAACCAGATTCCTCTCTTTTTTGGGGGGGGAGAAGGGAGGGAAATGGAGACGTTGCATTGAATCATAGATTCCTAGAGTTGGAAGAGACAGCTCTCCTTATAGTTGGGAAGTTCTTCCTAATATAGATTAATCAAATAATCTGAGACTCCAAAGAGACATACACAAGAAGTGGAAAAAGGGAGAAATCACCAAAGAAGAATTCAAAGAAATAGCCAACTCTTGTAGGGAGAAGGTTTGCAAGGCTAAAGCACAAAACGAGCTCAGGCTTGCCAGGGACATTAAAGCTTCCAAAGAAGGAGCCTCAACCACACTCCGGGGCAGAGAGTTCCACTGCTGAACAGCTCTCCTTATAGTTGGGAAGTTATAATATAGGTAAAGGTAAAGGTAGTCCCCTGACATTAAGTACAGTCATGTCTGACTCTGGGGTGTGGTGCTCATCTCCATTTCTAAGCCGAAGAGCCAGCGTTGTCCGTAGACACCTCCAAGGTCATGTGGCCGGCATGACTGCATGGAGCGCTCTTACCTTCCCACCAGAGCGGTACCTATTGATCTACTCACATTTGCATGTTTTCGAACTGCTAGGTTGGCAGAAGCTAGGGCTGACAGCGGAAGCTCACGCCGCTCCCCGGAATCGAACCTGCGACCTTTCGATCAACAAGCTCAGCAGCTCAGTGCCTTAACCCACTGCGCCACCGGGGGCTCCTTTTTCTAATATAGATTAATCAAATAATCCCATACAACATAGGCAGATACTCGGACTGAGTCACACAGGAGAGAGTGAGATTGATTCTTTTGTACTCTTTTTCTTTGGCTAGAAATGCTGTACCATTTCTATATAACAGGCTCCACTGCTGAACAACTCTCACATTGGGCTGAGACTCCAAAAAGACATACACAAGAAGTGGAAAAAGGGAGAAATCACCAAAGAAGAATTAAAACAAATAGCCAACTCTTGTAGGGAGAAGGTTTGCAAGGCTAAAGCACAAAATGGGCTCAGGCTTGCCAGGGACATTAAAGCTTCCAAAGAAGGAGCCTCAACCACACTCCAGGGCAGAGAGTTCCACTGCTGAACAGCTCTCCTTATAGTTGGGAAGTTCTTCCTAATATAGATTAATGAAATAATCCCATACAACATAGGCAGATATTCGGACTGAGTCACACAGGAGAGAGTGAAATGGATTCTTTTGTCCTCTTTTTCTTTGGCTAGAAATGCTGTACCATTTCTATATAACAGACTTCACTGCTGAACAACTCTCACACTGGGCTGAGACTCCAAAAAGACATACACAAGAAGTGGAAAAAGGGAGAAATCACCAAAGAAGAATTAAAACAAATAGCCAACTCTTGTAGTGAGAAGGTTTGCAAGGCTAAAGCACAAAACGAGCTCAGGCTTGCCAGGGACATTAAAGAGAGTTCCACTGCTGAACGGCTCTCACAGTCAGGAAGTTCTTCCTCATGTTCAGATGGAATCTCCTTTCTTGTAGTTAGATGTATCAATTAGAAGTCGAAGTCTGATGGTGAGAGGTCGGGTGAATAAGGGGATGTGGGAGAATTTCCAAGCTACAGGAACATATGTATTGTTGAAGGCTTTCATGGCCGGAATCACTGGGTTGTAGGTTTTTCCAGGCTATATGGCCATGTTCTAGAGGCATTTTCTCCTGACGTTTCACCTGCATCTATGGCAAACATCCTCAGAGGTAGTGAGGTCTGTTGGAACTAGGAAAAAAGGGTTTATATATCTGTGGAATGACCAGTGTGAGACAAAGGACTCTTGTCTGCTGGAGCTAGGTGTGAATGTTTCATACTTTTTCCATTTGGGCAACAGGTGAGTTGTGAACTGGGGAAGGTGGACACCTCTGGGGAGCCTGCCACGTTGTCTCTTGGGTTGGATGCCCTCCCAATGTCTGCCACAGTGAAGCCTAGTCTGCCCCAATGATCATGGTCCCCTTTGCTAGGAAATCCACCAATCCTACTCTGTGCTGGTCCAAAATACTATGAGCATGACCTTTCCTGTAGAGAGCTGGACACGCACCTTCTTTGGAGTCAGTGAGTCAGGATGCTTCCATTGCACCAACTGGACTTCAGTCTCAGAATCAGAGTGATGGACCCAGCTTTCCTCCTGTGTGGTCAGTCTGTGGATAAAGTCCTCCTAGTTTCCATGGCGCATCACTGTCAAGAGAGCCTGAGAGAATTTTGACTCGTTCCTGCTTCTGGAAAGGTGTGAGCAGCCGGGGGACCCAGCCAGTGCATACCTTATGCAGGGGAAGATAATAATAATAATAATAATAATAATAATAATAATAATAATAATAATCTTTATTTATACCCCGCCACCATCTTCCCAATGGGGACTCGGAGCAGCTTACATGGGGCCAAGCCCGAACAACAAACTACAATATGGTCTTGAGAGATTTTTTCCCCCACAGACCCCACACTCATCTTGACATTTTGGTGGTGAAGGGTTATGCGGCGATTTTCCAACATGGCGACCTCCACTTGTTGTATGATGTGTTCCTCAATAGCAGAGTGGGGTCGCCCTGGAATCGGAGCTGTTTGCACCGAAGTCCGACCACACTGGAATGGATGATGCCAGTTCTTGACTCCATCATATGACGGAGAATCCTCACCATCAACCTCTTTCATCTCATTGCTGAGATGAGTTTGATTCATCTCTACCTAAATAAGGCAGAGCCCTGGAAACGTGACATTGCCAGGGGTTTGAGATTACCAGAGTTTGATTCATCTCTACCTAAATAAGGCAGAGCCCTGGGAATGTGACATTGCCAGGGGTTTGACACTGCCAGAGTTTGATTCATCTCTTTCTAAATAAGGCAGAGCCTTGGCAACTTGGCATTGCCAAGGGTTTGACATTGCCAGAGTTTGATTCATCTCTACTTAAATAAGGCAGAGCCCTAGCAATGTGATGTTGCCAGGGGTCTGACATTGCCAGAGTTTGATTCATCTCTATCTAAATAAGGCAGAGCCCTGGCAACGTGACATTGCCAGGGGTCTGACATTACACACATTTTCACTGTTACTATGTGGATAGATAGCTAGATGATTGACCAAAGATAATAGCAGAAGATACATGGAATGGAAGGGAGAACCTCATGGGCTTTTTTTTTTTATCGTGTCAAGAGCAACTTGAGAAACTGCAAGTCGCTTCTGGTATGAGAGAATTGGTTGTCTGCAAGGACATTGCCCAGGGGACGCCCGGATGATTTGATGTTTTTATCACCCTTGTGGGAGGCTCCTCTCATGTCCTTGCATGAGGAGCTGGAGCTGATAGAGGGAGCTCATCCACCTCTCTCCGGATTTGAACCTGCGACCTGTCGATCTTCAGTCCTGCCGGCACAGGGGTTTAACCCACTGCAACACCTCATGGGCTGCATCTTGGGTATATCTGGAGGAATCCTCGCAGTTAAAAACACTATGCCGCTCTCTTGGAATTCTGCAAGATCAGATACTTTCCTAAATAGGATGGGTGAAGGGTGCCCCCTAGTGGCAGTCAGTAAGAATTCTGTTGCAAGCAAGATAAAGAATTTTTATTTTATTTTTGTCCAGTCCTCCTGAAGAGTCCCCTTTTTGGCACTGAGAGACGAGAAATAAATGGTAAATATGGGCACAGTAATAGGCTGCAGAGTTATATACTGTATATTCTAGCGTGTAAGACTACCTTTTAACCCAAGAAAATCTTCTCAAAAGTCAGGGGTCATCTTATACGCAGAAGTTGGCTTATACGCGGGAGTAATTTTATACGCTGGAGTAGCCTTATGCATGGGAGTCGTCTTATAAAGTGGGTGCTGAACCTCTCGATTCCTGGCCCTCATCATGTCTCCTCTCAGTCTTCTCTTCTTCAGGCTAAACATGCCCAGCTCTTTAAGCCGCTCCTCATAGGGCTTGTTCTCCAGACCCTTGATCATTTGAGTCGCTCTCCTCTGGACACATTCCAGCTTAGCGTCAACATCTCTCCTCAACTGTGGGTCCCAAAATTGGACTCAGTGTGATTCCAGGAGTGGTCTGACCAAAACAGAATAGAGTCCACAGTGCTCTCTGGATGTATGTGAACTACAACTCCCAAAACTCAAGGTCAATGCCCACCAAACCTTTCCAGTATTTTCTGCTCATCATGTGAGTTCTGTGTGCCAAGTTTGGTTCAATTCCATCATTGATTGAGTTCAGAATGCTCTTTGATTGTAGGTGAACTAGAAATCCCAGCAATTACAGCTCCCAAATGTCAAGGTCTAATTTCCCCAAACTCCACCAGTGTTCACGTTTGGCCATATTGAGTATTCTTACTAGGTTTGGTCCAGATCCATCATTATTTGAGTCCACAGTGCTCTCTGGATGTATGTGAACTACAACTCCCAAAACTCTAGGTCAATGCCCACCAAACCTTTCCAGTATTTTCTGCTCATCATGTGAGTTCTGTGTGCCAAGTTTGGTTCAATTCCATCATTGATTGAGTTCAGAATGCTCTTTGATTGTAGGTGAACTAGAAATCCCAGCAATTACAGCTCCCAAATGTCAAGGTCTAATTTCCCCAAACTCCACCAGTGTTCACATTTGGCCATATTGAGTATTCTTACTAGGTTTGGTCCAGATCCATCACTATTTGAGTCCACAGTGCTCTCTGGATGTATGTGAACTACAACTCCCAAAACTCAAGGTCAATGTCCACCAAACCCTTCCAGTATTTTCCGCTCGTCATGGGAGTTCTGTGTGCCAAGTTTGGTTCAATTCCATCATTGGTAAAGTTCAGAATGCTCTTGGATTGCTTAGAGAAGACAATGATGTTGGGGAAAATGGAAGGAAAAAAGAAGAGGGGCCGACCAAGGGTAAGATGAATGGATGGCATCCTTGAAGTGACTGGATTGACCTTGAAGGAGCTGAGGGTGGTGACGGCCGACAGGGAGCTCTGGCGTTGGCTGGTCCATGAAGTCATGAGGAGTCGGAAAGGAATGAACAAATGAACAACACATGAGGAGCTGTATTAAGGGGCTGCTGCATTAGAGGTTGAGAATCACTGCTCTATTTGATGTTTGTCTGCTTATAATGTCTCGTATTTCCTAAAGTGTACGCATTATTTGGGTTGCAGTTTCCTTTGCTCTATATACTTGAGGCAGTGGGAGGGGCTGCAGAATTAGGAAGGTTGAGAACCATTGCTCTATTTGATGTTTGTCTGCTTATAATGTCTTGTATTTCCTGAAGTGTATGTGTTATTTGGCATGCAGTTTCCTTTGCTCTATATACTTGAGGCAGTGGGAGGGGCTGCAGAATTAGGAAGTTTGACAACCATTGCTCTATTTGATGTTTGTCTGCTTAGAATGTATCGTTATATTTCCTGAAGTGTATGTGTTATTTGGCTTGCAGTTTCCTTTGCTCTATATACTTGAGGCAGTGGGAGGGGCTGCAGAATTAGGAAGATTGAGAACCACTGATCTAAGAGCCATACATCTATCTAAATTCCATGTAGCATGTACTTCCGGCCCTTAAACTTTTTTCCCATGCCTCCTGAACTAAGGAGCAATGTTTCCATTACCACGTCGGTTGGAATTTATACTATAGTGTTCCCTCGCTTATTGCGGGTGTTACATTCCAAGATCACCCGTAAAAAGTGAAAATCCGCGTAGTAGGGACACTATATATGTATATTGCCATATGTTCCATAGTTGATGGTGGTTGGTGGTGGTAGACCTGACATTGGTGATGGAAGGGTTACTGTAAGTCTTGGTTCTAAAGGGCTGAGTAGTTTGTAAGTAACAGTTTACAGGTAAAAGCAATTAAGGGTGGAGGTGCACAGGAGATGGGTTGCAGCTGGGTGTTACTGGATTTAAGGAGCTAACTTTGAGACTTATCTTTGGGAGAAAAGTATCTGTTGCATTTTGGTGGTGGATGCTGCTGGTTTTCCCCCCAGGTTTGTTGGATTTTTCAGTATCCTGACCTGTCTCTTGTAATCCTGGAACCTTGCAACTTTGGACTGGCTTTTGACTATGGTATAGACTCTTGATCCCTGACTTTGTTTATTGAACTCTTTTGACTACTGGACTGGACCCTTTTGACTACGGAGTTGTTTTTGCTATCTTTGTTTTATGTTTTGGTCTATTAAAACAGCCAGCAAGAAAGTGCTGTTTTAATTAACCTGTTTGTTAAAACTGGGAGTTTGATTCATCTCTACCTAAATAAGGCAGAGCCCTAGCAACGTGACATTGCCAGGGGTTTGACATTGCCAGAGTTTGATTCATCTCTACCTAAATAAGGCAGAGCCCTGGCAACGTGACATTGCCAGGGGTTTGACATTGCCAGTTTGATTCACCTCTACCTAAGGCAGAGCCCTGGCAATGTGACATTACCAGGGGTTTGACATTGCCAGAGTTTGATTCATCTCTACCTAAATAAGGCAGAGCCCTGGCAACGTGACATTGCCAGGGGTTTGACATCACCAGTTTGATTCATCTCTACCTAAATAAGGCAGAGCCCTGGCAACATGACATTGCCAGGGGTTTGACATTGCCAGAGTTTGATTAATCTCTACCTAAATAAGGCAGYGCCCTGGCAACGTGACATTGCCAGGGGTTTGACATTGRCAGAGTTTGATTCATCTCTACCTAAATAAGGCAGYGRCCTGGCAACGTGACATTGCCAGGGGTTTGACATTGCCAGAGTTTGATTCATCTCTACCTAAATAAGGCAGAGCCCTGGCAACGTGACATTGCCTGGGGTTTGACATTGCCAGAGTTTGATTCATCTCTATCTAAATAAGGCAGAGCCCTGGCAACGTGACATCTGAGACTGAGGCAGAAGCGAGGAGAAATTTAAAGGTACAGTGTATCTTTTCTTTTTGCTAGCTATCTCTGCTTTGCTTTGTAAAGAAAGAAACCCAGAAAACAGTGTATATATCATAAAAATAATTTATGGTCTCCTCATATAATAATGCATTGCCACGTGACGTTTACTACCTAACGATAGCTGTATTCATCCTCTCTTGTGAATATTATAAGTGAGCCCTCCTTCCGTGGGTACAAGTATTGTGTCCTCCTAATCAGTCGAGGCGCAAAGGTTGTACATTCTTACCAACCAGGAGCATTTTTTTTTTGTTTTCACTGTTCTGTTGAAAGGATTTTCATCAGCAAAGTCATCATATAGGGCAGAAAATCCAACTGAGCACAGGATGGGCACACGTGTCGAACTCAAGGCCTGCGGGCCAAATTCTGCCCACTGTCATTTTATAGGATCCTCCAGATGCAGGGCAATGCCTCCTGCACTCATTTAACATCATAACCAAAGCTGATGGGAGTTGTGATACAGTAACATCCAGAAGGGAAGCGGTTTGTTCTGTTTAGTCTGCGACTATTATGCGAGGAATGCAAAGATATCAATTTTGCCACTGAAAAATGGGAGTGTGATTATTATGCAGTGGCGACTCTTTATGTGATGAAATACGGTGATGTTCCTCACATAATTGTCTCTGCAATTATTATGCGAGGAACACAAAAAAACCCAATCTTTAAACCCAAAAAATGTAGGTATGTTTACAATGCAGTGGTGACCCTTTATGTGATGAAATACTATTATGTTCTGCACATAATAGGCTCTGCGACTATTATGTGAGGAACACAAAAATGTCAATCTTGCCACCCAAAAAATTGAGGTATGATTACAATGCAGTGGCAATTCTATATGTGATGAAATATGATGTTCCGCACATAATAGGCTCTGCAACTATTATGCGAGGAACACAAAAATACCAATCCTGCCACCCAAAAAAAATGGAGGTATGATTACAATGCAGTGGCAATTCTATATGTGATGAAATACGATGATATTCCATACATAATAGGCTCTGTGACTATTGTGTAAGGAACACAAAAATACCAACCCTGCCACCCAAAAATGGAGGTATGATTACAATGCAGTGGCAACTCTATATGTGATGAAATATGATGACATTCCGCACATAATAGTATCTGTGATTATTATGAGTGGAACATAAAAATACCAATCTTTCCACCAAACAAGTGGAGGTATGACGTGGCAACTCTTTATGTGATGAAATATGATGATGTTCTGCACATAATAGGCTATGCGACTATTATGTAAGGAACACAAAAATACCAACCCTGCCACCCAAAAAAATGGAGGTATGATTACAATGCAGTGGCAACTCTTTATGTGATGAAATATGATGACATTCTGCACATAATAGGCTCTGTGACTATTATGCGTGGAACACAAAAATACCAATCCTGCCACCCAAAAAATGGAGGTATGATTACAATGCAGTGGCAACTCTTTACATGATGAAATACGATGATATTCCATACATAATAGACTCTGTGACTATTGTGTAAGGAACACAAAAATACCAATCCTGCAACCCAAAAAAACAGAGATATTATTACAATGCCGTGGCAACTCTTTATGTGATGTAATACGATGATGTTCCACACATAATACGCTATGCGACTATTATGTAAGGAACACAAAAATACCAACCCTGCCACCCAAAAAAATGGAGGTATGATTACAATGCAGTGGCAACTCTTTATGTGATGAAATATAATGACATTCTGCACATAATAGGCTCTGTGACTATTATGCGAGGAACACAAAAATACCAATCCTGCCACCCAAAAAATGGAGGTATGATTACAATGCCGTGGCAACTCTTTATGTGATGAAATATGATGATGTTCCACACATAAGAGGCTCTGCGACTATTATTCGAAGAATACAAAAATACCAGTCCTGCCACCCAAAAATGGGGGTGTGATTATTATACAGTGGCGACTCTTTATGTGATGAATGGATACGATATCTTATGGATATGATGTCTGGCTTTACAATGTCCTTTTGCCTTTCCCCAATCTCAGAGCCACAAGTAACATTTAAGCTGTTGCTCCCATTATTCCCAGTCCGCATGGCGGATCATCAGCAGTGATGGGAGGTTCAATAACATCCGCAGACCCAAATTAGGAAAAACGAAAGAGCGGCAACCATTATGTAAAAAAGTATGGTTGCCCCCCAGTATCCATGGATTTTCCGTCAATTCGAAGGCAATCATAATGATGAAAACGAGTCTTAACCAACCACCTCATAACTACAGTATACATTAGGCATGGGCAAACTTCAGCCCTCAAGATAGGAATTGTGGGAGTTGAAGTCCAAAACACTTAAGAGGGCCGGTTTGCCCATGCTAGGTATACATGGAATGATTAACTTTTCCTCAAAGTACGGCTTTCCCCAAGCTGGTGCTCTCCTTCCCAATAATGCTGGACGAGAACCACTCACAGTTGTGACTGGGAGTTCTAGTCCAAGAAGGATAGACAGAGGGCACCAGGTCAGGAGAAAGCAGGGCTGCAGAGTGATGGGAACTGTCCCGCCTGTCACTTCTTCTTCGGGGCCGGAGAAGGAGAAGACTGGCTGCGGCTCTCCCAGACTTCGCGAATGGTGCGCCGGACCTCGCGGGGCAGGTTGAGGGTCTCCGCGTGGCACTGGAGGATGTGCCGCTTGACGGTGGACAGGCACACGCGCCGCAGGGGGTACTCGCAAACCATGCACACCAAGTGCCCCGCGGCGGCATCAAAGTCCACGAGGAAGCGGCCTCGCCAGACAGGGTCGAAACCCTCGGCCAGGAAGGAAGGCTCCTCCTTGCCCGCGCCGGCAGCTACTCGCCGGCCGGCTCTGGTGCCGCAGTCTTTGGCATGGCTACCCGCAGAACCGGTCAGAGGGCAGGAGGTGGTGCCTTGGCTGGAGCAGAGGCGGCGTGGGGAATCCGTGGAGTGAAGCCTCAGCAAAGACACAGAGCAGTTGCGATCTGGGGAAGCGGGGACAAGAGATAACAAAAGTAGATATAACAAAGCTGCTAAGGCAGTGGTTCTCAACCTTCCGAATGCCGCGACCCCTTAATACAGTTCCTCATGTTGTGGTGAGCCCCAACCATAACCATAACATTATGAATCGTCATGTAAATATGATCTGTAGGATGTATTTTCATTCACTGGAGCAAATTTGGCACAAATACCTGGTATGCCCAAATTTGAATACTGGTAGGGTTGGCGGGGAAATTGATTCTGTCATTTGGGAGTTGTAGTTGCTGGGATTTATAGTTAACATGTAAACAAAGAGCATTCTGAACCCCACCAGCAATGGAATTGAACCAAAGTTGGCACAGAGAACTCCCATGATCAACAGAAAATACTGGAAGGGTTTGGTAGGCACTGACCTTGAGTTTGGGAGTTGTAGTTCGCCTACATTCAGAGAGCACCGTGGGCTCAAACAATGATGGATCTGGACGAAACTTGGCACAGATACTCAATATGCCCAAATGTGAACACCGATGGGGTTTGGGGAAAATCGACTTTGACATTTGGGAGTTGTAGATACTGGGATTTATAGTTCACCTACAATCAAGGAGCATTCTGAACCCCACCAATGATAGAATTGGGCCAAACTTCCCACACAGAACCCCTATGACCAACAGAAAATACTGTGTTTTCTGATGGTCTTTGGCGACCCCTCTGACACCCCTTCACGACCCCCTCAGGGGTCCCGCCCCCCAGGTTGAGAAACACTGTGCTAAGGCAATGGCCCCCCATCCTTGGTGAACCTATATTTTAGGGAGTTGCAGTCCACTGACATTTCAGGATTCAAGGTTGCGAACAACTGCACTAAGACAGAAACCCCACAATCAAGGCAACCCACCAGTAGCTGTTTCAATTGGTTGCTGGGCCGTCTGGCCATGTTCTGGAAGCATTCTCTCCTGATGTTTTGCCCACATCTACGGCAGGCATCCTCAGAGGTTGTGATGTTTGTTGGAAACTAGCCAAGTGGAGTTTATATATCTAAGGAATGATGTCCAGGGTGGCCTTCTTGAGGCAAGTGTGAATGTTGCAATTGGCCGCCTTGATTAGCATTTAATGGCCTTGCAGCGTCAAATTATTATTATTATTATCATTATTATTATTATTATTATTATTCTACATTTATACTCCGCCCTTCTCACCCCAGTGGGGGACTCAAGGCGGCATACAATGCACATATAATAATTAACATAACATATCAATTTAAACAATTAACATATCAATTTAAACATACAATAATAAACATGACATAATAATTGAATATAAATACAATAAAAAGCTTAGAAGTAATTCAAATAGAAATACAATTAAAAGGCTTGAAAGTAAACATACAATACTTCAAATATAAATATATTAAAAAGCTTAAAAGTAAACATTAAATCTCAACCAAAGTGGGCTGATGGAATAAGCCTGGCTGCTTCCTGCCTGGGAGAATCCTTTGTTGGGAGGTTTTAGCTGGCCCTGATTGGTTCCTGTTTGGAATTCCCCTGTTTTTGGAGTGTTGTTCTTTATTTACTGTCCTGATTTTAGAGTTTCTTAATTTTTTATTGTCCCAAAAAAGGGGGAAAACATTTTACTATTTTACATGGAAAGTGGGAGAACATTGGAAAGATAAGTAAAGTAGGAAACGAAAAGAAAAGAGGGAAAAAGAAAAAAATGTATAAAAATAAAAAGTAAAATAAAATAAAGTCTCGACTTCCATTCTGAGCCACTGCATGTCTCATTTTCAAACTTCGTACATTCAAATATCCCTATATTGACAAAAATATTTATGCTTGTGGATTTCAATGGCTTCTCTGTGAATATTCAATGCCAATCAAACCTCACTTGCCGAGTTTCTAACAGATCTCACAACCTCTGAGGTTGCCTGCCATAGATGTGGGTGAAATGTCAGGAGAGAATGCTTCTGGATAATGGCCATGAAAACTCACAGCAACCCAAAGATTTTTATTATTATTATTGAATCCTAGAACACAAAGACCATGCAGTCTACCCTCATTCTGCCATGCAGGAAGACACAATCAAAGCCCTCCCAACAGATGGCCATTCTGCCTCTGCTTAAAAACCTCCATAGAAGGAGACTTCACCAGAAATCCAGGCAGTACCACTGCTAAACATCTCTAACCATCCAAAACGTTCTTCATAATGTTTCAGTGAAATGTATTATTATTATTATTAATAATAATAATAATTAGAGTAAAATAATAAATGTAATAACAATACTAGAGTAAAATAATAGAACTGTAATGATAACAGTAATTTATAAAGTAAAATAACAATGTCTTTGGGGAGGGAATTCCACAGACGGGGAGCCACTGTTGAGAAGGCCCTGTCTCTCATCTCCACCAATAGCGTTTTCGACGGCGGTGGGATCGAGAGCAGGGCCTCTCCAGATGATCTTAAACTTCGTGATGATTTGTAGTAGGAGATACGGACAGGTAGTCTGGGCCACAACCGTTTAGAGCTTTAAAGGTTAAAACTAGCACTTTGAACTGTGCTTGGTAGCAGATCAGCAACCAGTGGAGCTGGCGTAACAGAGGAGTTGTATGCTCCCTGTATGCCACTCCGGTGAGCAACCTAGTTACTGACCGTTGGACTAATTGAAGCTTCTGGACAGTCTTCAAAGGCAGCCCCATGTATAGCATATTGCAGTAGTCTAATCAGGGATGTAGCAAGAGTGTGTACTACTATGGCCAAGTCAGACTTCCCAAGGTACGAGAGCAGCTGGCGCTCAACAATGAATCTAGGATCACTCTCAAGCTACGAACCTGCATCTTCGGGGGAGTGTTACCCCGTCACGTACAGGTTGTAACCCTATGCCGTGTTCAGCCTTTCGACTGACCAGGAGGACCTCTGTCTTGTCTGGAATCAAGTTCAATTTGTTCGCCCTCATCCAGACCGACACAGCAGCCAAGCACCTTTTTTGGAGACTTTTAAACAGAGATTGGATGGCCATCTGTCGGGGGTGCTTTGAATGCAATTTTCCTGCTTCTTGGCAGAATGGGGTTGAACTGGATGGCCCAGGAAGTCTCTTCCAATTCAACGATTCCATCTTGCCTTTACTAATAATATAATATAGTATATTGTATATACATATAATATTTATAATATTATAATGTAATACAATATAAGACTAGTAATAATAATACGATATTATAATTATACATTTACATTACATGTAATATTACTAATAATATTACAATATAATGGTATAGTGCAATATAGTAAGATATAATACTGATATTGTACGATGCTAATATGTGTTATGCAAACTTACCCACTGTTCTCTTCTTTGTATTTGGCTTAACTCTCGAGTCTTGAGTTGTTTCTGTAAGTGAAAACACAACTTGTTTTGTCAACACTGCACAAAATGCATTCTCGACGTGTTTCAATCCCTTCCTACAAACATCGAATACAATATAATACTAATAATAATAATACAATATTATAATTATATATTCTATTTTACATGTAATATTAGTAATAATATTACAATATACTGGTATAGTACAATATAGTAATATATAATACAGATATTGTACTATGCTAATAATATAATATATTGTATGTACCGTATATACCCGAGTATAAGCCGAGGCACCCAATTTTACCACAAAAAACTACGAAAACATATTGACTTGAGTATAAGCCGCTGGATAATGGAGAAAGGCAGGGAGTTTCAGAAAAACATCTACTTCTGCTTCATTGACTATTCTAAAGCGTTTGACTGTGTGGATCATAATAAATTGTGGCAAGTTCTTGGTGGGATGGGCATCCCAAGCCACCTTGTCTCTCTCCTGAGGAATCTGTACAAGGACCAAGTAGCAACAGTCAGAACTGACCACGGAACAACAGACTGGTTCAAGATTGGGAAAGGCGTACGGCAAGGCTGCATACTCTCACCCAACCTTTTTAACTTGTATGCAGAACACATCATGCGATGTGCGGGGCTTGATGAGTGCAAAGCTGGGGTGAAAATTGCTGGAAGAAACATTAACAACCTCAGATATGCAGATGACACCACTCTGATGGCCGAAAGCGAGGAGGAGCTGAGGAGCCTTCTAATCAAGGTGAAAGAAGAAAGCGCAAAAGCCGGGTTGCAGCTAAACGTCAAAACCAAGATTATGGCAACAAGAATGATTGACAACTGGAAAATAGAGGGAGAAACCGTGGAGGCCGTGACAGACTTTGTATTTCTAGGTGCAAAGATTACTGCAGATGCAAGACTGTGGCCAGGAAATCAGAAGACGCTACCTTCTTGGGAGGAGAGCAATGTCCAATCTCGATAAAATAGTCAAGAGTAGAGACATCACACTGGCAACCAAGATCCATTGCCTAGTAACAGTTTCCCTGTAGTAACCTACGGATGTGAGAGCTGGACCTTAGGGAAGGCTGAGCGAAGGAAGATAGATGCTTTTGAGCTGTGGTGTTGGAGGAAAGTTCTGAGAGTGCCTTGGACTGCGGGAAGATCCAACCAGTCCATCCTCCAGGAAATAAAGCCCGGCTGCTCACGGGAGGGAAGGAGACTAGAGACAAAGTTGAAGTCCTTTGGCCACATCATGAGGAGACAGCAAAGCCTAGAGAAGACAATTATGCTGGGGAAAGTGGAAGGCAAAAGGAAGAGGGGCCGACCAAGGGCAAGATGGATGGATGGCATCCTTGAAGTGACTGGACTGACCTTGAAGGAGCTGGGGGTGGCAACGGCCGACAGGGAGCTCTGGCGTGGGCTGATCCATGAGGTCATGAAGAGTCGGAGACGACTGAACGAATGAACAACAACAACATAAGCCGAGGGTGGGAAATGCAGCAGCTACTGGTAAATTTCAAAATAAAAATAGATATCAAAACAATTACATTAATTGAGGCATCAGTGGGTTAAATGTTTTTGAATATTTACATAAAACTGTAATTTAAGATAAGAGTGCCCAACTCTGATTCAACCCTTATTCTAAACTTCTTCAATGTAAATGTGCTGATGTATCCTTCCAATAATAATAGAGTAAAATAATGGAAATGTAATAATAATACCAGTAATAGTAGAATAAATATAATAATAATAATAATAATAATAGAGTAAAATAATGGAAATGTAATAATAATAGTAATAATAGAATAATAAATGTAATAATAATAAATAAGTAAAATAATGGAAATGTAATAATAACAGTAATAATAGAATAATAAATGTAATAATAATAATAGAGTAAAATAATGGAAATGTAATAATAACAGTAATAATATGTTGCTTGTCTTGTATTGTCTGTCGAGTATATTGTGTTTTAACTAATTGTTATTGTTATAAATTGCATTGTAAACCACATTGAGTCGCCGAATTAGGCTGAAAAATGCGGTATAAAAATAAAGCAAATAAATAAATAATAAATAAATAATAGAATAATAAATGTAATAATAACAGTGATAATGTAATAATAATAGTAATAATAGAATAAATGTAATAATAATAGAATAATAAATGTAATAATAAATAGAGTAAAATAATGGAAATGTAATAATAACAGTAATAATAGAATAATAAATGTAATATTAATAAATAGAGTAAAATAATAGAAATGTAATAATTACAGTAATAGTAGAATAATAAATGTAATAATAATAGAGTAAAATAATGGAAATGTAATAATAACAGTAATAGTAGAAGAATAAATGTAATAATAATAATAAATAGAGTAAAATAATGGAAATGTAATAATAACAGTAATAATAGAATAATAAATGTAATAATAATAATAATAATAGAGTAAAATAATGGAAATGTAACAACAGTAATAATAGAATAATAAATGTAATAATAATAAAAAGAGTAAAATAATGGAAATGTAATAATAACAGTAATAATAGAATAATAAATGTAATAATAATAATAAATAGAGTAAAATAATGGAAATATAATAATTACAGTAATAATAGAATAAATGTAATAATAATAATAGAGTAAAATAATAGAAATGTAATAATTACAGTAATAATAGAATAATAAATATAATAATAATAATAATAATAGAGTAAAATAATGGAAATGTAATAATTACAGTAATAATAGAATAATAAATGTAATAATAATAATAGAGCAAAATAATGGAAATGTAATAATAACAGTAATAGTAGAATAAATATTATAATAATAGAGTAAAATAATGGAAATGTAATAACAGTAATAATAAAATAAATGTAATAATAATAGAGTAAAATAATAGAAATGTAATAATAACAGTAATAATAGAATAATAAATGTAATAATAATAGAGTAAAATAATAGAAATGTAATAATAACAGTAATAATAGAATAATAAATGTAATAATAATAGAGTAAAATAATGGAAATGTAATAATAACAGTAATAATAGAATAATAAATGTAATAATAATAGAGTAAAATAATGGAAATGTAATAATAACAGTAATAATAATAAATAGAGTAAAATAATGGAAATGTAATATTAACAGTAATAATAGAATAATAAATGTAATAATAATAGAGTAAAATAATAGAAATGTAATAATAACAGTAATAATAATAAATGTAATAATAACAAGTAGAATAATGGAAATGCAATAATAACAATAATAATAGAATAATAAATGTAATAATAGAGTAGAATAATAAATGCAATAGTAATAATAATAAATAGAGTAAAATAATGGAAATGTAATATTAACAGTAATAATAGAATAATATGTAATAATAAATAGAGTAAAATAATGGAAATGTAATAACAGTAATAATAGAATAATAAGTGTAATAATAATAATAAATAGAGCAAAATAATGGAAATGTAATAATAACAGTAATAATAGAATAATAAATGTAATAATAATAATAATAAATAGAATAAAATAATGGAAATGTAATAATAACAGTAATAATAGAATAATAAATGTAATAATAATAATAAACAGAGCAAAATAATGGAAAATTATTTGTTTTTATTTATTTATTTATTTAGCTTGTATACTGCTTCTCCCAATTTGGCTCGGAACGGTTTACAGAAGCAGATTAAAACAATACAACTAGCTTTAAAAGTAAAAATAACAAAACAATAGGCGGCGAGAACAGGCATAGTCCGGGTAATAATAACAGTAATAATAGAATAATAAGTGTAATAAGACTAATAATAACAATTGAGTAAAATAATAAATGTAATACTACTACTACTACTACTAATAATAATAATAGAGTAAAATAATAAATGTAATAATAATAATAATAATAGAGTAAAATAATAAATGTAATAATAATAATAATAACACAACAGAGTAAAATAATAAATAATCTTGACTCGAATATAAACAGAGGGGGGGCTTTTTCAGCCTTAAAAAAGGGCTGAAAAACTAGGCTTATACTCGAGTATATACAATATATATGTCTTGTAAATATTGTAAATAAATAAATAAACAAACTCATCGTGAATCTACTGCAGGATCCGCATCCTTGCTTTTGCAACCAGTTACACAAACTATACCACAAATTGGGGAGGAGGCACGGGCTATGGCAGAATTACATCCCATTCTGTGGGATGTAATTCCGGGTAGGAATACTTGAGATTGGCTGTAGAATATGCGGCTCTCCAGATACTGATGAACAACTGGCGCTATGATTCCTCCCCGATGGCCAGGCTGGGCAGGGATGATGGGAATATGAGTCCACCAATATCTGAATGGTCATAAGTTCTCCAGCCCTAGTTGAGACAAAGTTCTGCACTTTGAATGGCTGTGCATGTCTCAGAGGACATGATGGTTAAGAAGCAGGATCTTAGAAACCAACACACATGTCCCCACGTACGTACCTGGCTGAGCCCGGCAATACAGTTTTAAGGTGAATCCAGCAGGGAAGGTGCCGTCGGTGAAGATTCGGATTTCGGCAGGGGCCGAGCCTGGGACACCGCACTCAGAGAGCCACTCCTTCCCTGCAATGCGAAAACAATCACAAGAAACCTTGTTGGGCGAGTGGGCTTATTAACAAAAGACCCTCCTCATAAATATTAATTATTATTATTATTATTATTATTATTATTATTATCTGGTATTTTTGTGTCCCTCGCATAATAGTCGCAGAGACTTATGCAAAGAACACCACTGTATTTCATCAGAAAGAGTCGCCACTGCTTAATAACCACACACCCATTTTTTGGGTGGCAAGATTGGTATTTTTGTGTTCCTTGCATAATAGTCGCAGAGACTTATGCAAAGAACATCACCGTATTTCATCAGAAGGAGTCACCACTGCTTAATAACCACACACCCATTTTTTGGGTGGCAATATTGGTATTTTTGTGTTCCTCGCATAATAGTCGTAGAGACTTATGCAAAGAACATCACCCTTTTTCATCAGAAAGTCGCCACTTCTTAATAATCACACACCCATTTTTGGGGTGGCAAGATTGGTATTTTTGTGTTCCTTGCATAATAGTCACAGAGACTATTATGTGCGGAACATCATTGTATTTAATCACTTAAAGAATTGCCACTGCATTGTAATTATGCCTCCATTTTTTGGGGTGGCAAGATTGGTATTTCTGTGTTCCTCGCATAATAGTCACAGAGCCTATTGTGTATGGCATATCATCGTATTTCATCACATAAAGAGTTGCCACTGCATTGTAATCATACCTCCATTTTTTTGGTGGCAAGATTGGTATTTTTGTGTTCTTTGCATAATAGTCACAGAGACTTATGCAAAGAAKATCACTGTATTTCATCACATAAAGAGTTGCCACTGCATTGTAATTATGCCTCCATTTCTTGGGGTGGCAAGATTGYRWWTTKTGRG